CAAAGTTATAACCTTCAATATCCATCTCTCATAGGTAATTTGCTCCTCTAAGGTGTGAAAATGGGAGAGACCATTCCCAAAAGGTAGAAAGCCACCAGGGTAAGAAGGTGCCACAAAGATTTGAAAATCAGCACACAGTGGTCCTTGACCAAGGAGTCAAAGTACATTGGACTCATTAGCTATTCTGTAGCAGCCAAAAACTGTCCTCTTTGAAATGTGTTTTTCCTCTTTCTTAAGTGCTCCAATGATCTATGGAAAATGGAGAATTGAGTAGGAGGTTCTCTGTGTGTCAGAAATTATTATGTGTGCGCATCTATATAAAAATAAGCTCTCTCCAGCAAAGGGTCAAAAAGGGTCACCCTAGAGTCCTTCAAAGTATGCACCAAGTTATAGACCATAAAAGGGACTGAATCCACGATGCCCTGCACGTTATTACAGCCATAGCAATGGAATTAGCTGCCATATCAGCCACATTCAGAGAAGCCTGCAGGATTATTCTAGTCAGTAGCTGCCCTTCTGCAAGGGCAGCTTGGAACTGTTTTGTGTTGTTGTGATAAATGTTCAATGAAAGAGGTAAACTTAATTTAATAAATGTGGCTGTTTTGCCAGAATCAGCTGAAAGTTAGCAACTTGGAATTGTAAATTAGCAGAAGAGCAAAGGCTTGCACTCAAATACTCCAGGGTCTGTGGCCCATGTCATAGGGTGTAATCTCCAAACGGAATTGCCTTTGACACTCATTTAGTGTGTCCACATCTAAAGAATTTGGTTCAGTGTAAGGAAAAGAAGAACTCCAAGCCCTGAGCTAGGATAATACATTTTGTCTGGTCTTTTTGCCATTACGTAAGGGTAAGGGAGAGATGCAACAACAAAAGGTTGATAGATGGACTTGGCAGGTTTTAATAATGCTTCATTTATAGGAAAGGCAACCCATGCTGAAGATGGTGTCTGCAAGATGTCAAGCAACTTGTGCGATGCCTCTTACATTTTTTCTATTAGGATCTGAAGAGTGCCTGCTTCCCTCTTCATTGGATCTTAAAAGTATTAGAAATCAATGTGATATGTGGGGGATGACCACGTCCTCCAAGGAGGAAGAAGTTGGAAAGAGGTGCAGGTTCCAGATAGCCAAATGTAGATAATCAGCAGAACCTTGTACAGAAATCTGGGTATCTGAAGAACTCTTTTCTTCACAGTCCAGAGGAGGAGGAACCAGCCATCTTTCAGAACATATTGGTACCAGGGAGGTATGCAGTTCCAGTGAAAGGGAGGATACCGGGATAGTGCTGGTTGTGATTCCAAAAATCTTGACCTCAGTAAAAGTTTAGGTTCCTCAGAAATAAGCAGGTCTAAGCCTCAGTCTCTTTGGAAAATTAGACTTTAAGTACTTAATAGTTTTCAAAACTACTTAGACCTATTTTTAAATTCTTGCAATGACATAGCAGACACAGTAGAAATACCATGCAATGGAACTACCATACTTCTAAATTGAGCAACGTGACCTTTTTTCAGTAGATTGTAAAACTGCCCCAAAAAACGCAATTTTCAGGGCTCCAAGAAGATTCATGAAATGTAGCTAATTAAACACCATAAAACATAGTTTTGGGTTGAACAAAACATTGCATTTGCAAAAACTTAGTTTTCTTTCATGTTTGCTTTGGTGAGAAATAATAAAAAAAATCAGCTTGGTTCAAATCAAATGATGTTTTGATTTGGCCTTTGAACAAAAACAAAGCAAAACAAAACAAAAAAAAAAAAAACACACTCCTTCCAAGAGCCAATTATGTACTCAAATATACCAGGTATCAAAATGCCATTCACAGAAAAAATTTTAAACAAAAATTTTTTTAAACGAACTTCCCACCTTGCCCCCTAAAAAAGCAGCTGTGTCACAATCAGTATTGGAGACTTTGGAGGTATTATGGAGTTCCAAACATAGAAACAACTGAATGGAAATTTGATGCCCTGTTTGTTGAGTTAGCTATTTTAAGATATCTGGTAGACAAGCACAGGGTCAGACTTCTAACATTATACTATCAACTGAATTTTAAACATATCCACAAAAGATTAAACTGGCCTAGAATGTATAACTGTTAATTGGTTGGGTGTTTTTGTTTTGTTTGTTTTTTGTGACCAGCTCTTAATTTTTAGTACCATTGTAATAATCCTTGTAATGGTGGGAAGAATAAACAAACTTTGAGCTGCACATAAAATCAGCCCAAATACTTCAAGGCAGAGAAAATACAAACTGATCATATGCAATAAAGATATTAATCTTCCTATGGAGGAATGGATGTGTGGGAAACAATAAAGTGCTGATAGCCAGGACAGCCTTTTATTTCAGAAAGATTAAAAGACCTCCTGAGATTTCTGAAGGGAAAAAACCCTCTGCACAATTAGAGAACATCAAATAGTTCATTTGTATATGCAAATACCTTCAGAAGAGAAACAAACTAAAGAAAAGAGCATATAAAAGCAAAAAAATACATCTAATGATTAAACCCAACTATAGGGAGACAGACCCTTCCTAGTATTGTAATCAAATCAGGGGGAAAGTGTGTTGTTAATGTGTCCCCTGACTCATATAGCTGTAGTGTAAAATGAATCTTCTCTCAGAATGATTTTTGCTGACCTGATATTATCTGCCTTTGTAATTTGGCTGGAGGAACTAAAATGTTTGTGTAAATCCTAAAAGGATTAAACTAAGAACAGCAAAGGTCACCAAGAGGTACCCAACCGTGATTCTTAGGAGCATGGCACATGGGAGAAGATAGTCTTCAAAAAGACCCTCATTAGTAAATTCCACAGTATCAAAAAACCCTCTCCAAAACCCTGTTCATTACTACTTCGGCCAGTCTCATCTATCAGCATCACAGATTTCCAAGCAGTTAGTGACTAAATACACCCTATTGCTATTTGGTTCTCTGAGGTACTCCACGTCCTCTTATGCAAAACTGCTTTGGGTCTTGATCAAATCATTGTTTTTCAAAATCCAAAACATTTTATTTAAGTTTCATGATATCCTCTTGCTGCTGTGATTGCAGCTGCACTGCTTTGCGGGAGTTGGAGGAGGGTTGAGGTGGAGGAGAGAAAGGAAGGAAAAAAGTGGGAATTAGTCACTACAGAATAAAAGTGCCAAAAAAGAGAGAAGCTTTTAACTAAACTGTATTTGCATTAAGAGCAATACTAAAAGTTTGGTAGGATGTAGGTATCAGGAGGACATTGCCAAGACTATAAGGGAGGTACTTTCCATTTTCTCATGGTACAAAAAACAAAATCCAGTACAATTCAGTGAACTCTGATAAAAGGGACTCCATTTATATTTAAAGAAATGAAAGTTCAAAAAATGTCCATGGCATCTGCTTAGAAAGAAGTTCTTTTGGAAAATGGGGTGGCAATTTTACACTAATGCTTTCTCTGCACTAGGATTTAACTGTAATGTTAACTATTATATGCTAACTAAAATGTTTTAAAAGTCCAGTGAAAATAAGTACCACTGTCTTCTACATGTGCCAATTTGGTCTAGCTAAAGCCCAGGCTGGGTGGTAGGAGAGGTGTCAGAGCTTAAAAAACCCCCCCACACACGAACCTTTTACAATGGAAAGTATTGGGCAACTTAAATATAAGGACACTTAGTTCCCCTTACAATCATTATAGTCATATTGCTACTTACCACAGGGAGTGTGAGCCAGGTGGCCACAATGCGGTCAGTAATCCAGCGATACCAGGCCGGGGAGACAAACATCAAAGGTAGAAAAGGTCCGAGCATGAAAATACTCCCAAAAAAACTTGCCAAGAACAGTGCAAGTAAGAAGTATATCCCCTTCCATGACACCATGGCTCTGGAAAGATGAAGTGAGCATTCAGTTAGACAAACACTTGTAATTATTTCTGCTTACTTAATCTTCAACTCTCTCACAACTACAGTTTATTGGATATGGTGCTTTTCATTTTTGTCCTAAAATATTATGCAATGTTCTGATGCATTGTTAAATTACTGCAGTGTTCTACCTTAGACGTAGCAACACTTCAGTGGTATTGGGACCAACAAACAATTTTAAGGAGCAACAGGACATTAAAGGGGCCATACAATTATATCAATTTTATCTTCAATTATTTCCTCCATTTAATACAATATGCAGTTGCATTGTGAAATCTCAATGCTATTTTTATTACATAAAAATACAGAGGGTTGAGAAAGCTATGAGGATTTGTGTCATATCAAACACTTTTGATCAGTTGACTCTGACTCTTCCAAAACACTAAATATTTGGTGGGAGAAGGCAGGAAGGGGAGGTCCCTAACACGGTTCTCCTATTTCTTTTCTTTGCCTCTTCTTCCAAAGCCCCGTGTTACGACTCCCTTTCCACCTGCCAAATGAATACATGTGGGTTTCTTCAGAACCCATCAACACCCCAGGTAAAGACTAGAAGGATCAGTAAAGAGCAATACAAAGCCCACTCTGGCCAACAGAGCTTGTGACTCAGTTTGAAGCTCCCTTCTAATATCAGTTATTTTCCAGATTATCCATTAAATGAAGAGAAGCATCATCAAAGCTTGCAGTGCCTCAGTATATCAAACTTCTGATCGCCACATACATAAGATGGCCTTTGGATTTTTAAGACAGTCTAGACTTAAAACATTACAGTGTCCATTCTATCAGCTTGTTATAAATCTAAAATATATAATGCAGAGAGATTCTTAATAGATTAGTGTAGAATAATCAGCACGATTCCCCAGGGGTTTCTGTTGGCTCCGAACCTTTACAACTTAGACACCATGCTATGACAAAACAAATCTGGAAACATCATCTACATTATAATCCAAATAGAGTCTGTTTTCAGTTATTTAGAACCAAACTGTTTGTTTCAGAGATGAAAGGTTAAGTAGTCAGATTTCTTAACCATTTTACTAAATTCCTCCCCAACAAACAGTTTTAGAAATTATAAAGAGCTCAGATAGACAATTGCTGAGGATAAGAAAAACAGGAAACTGGATCTTTCAATTTTAAAATGAGGAATGGAAAAATAAGGCTTAATGGCTTATGCACTGAAATATACATAATTTGAACTTGAACATCTTTTCAAGCCTAATTTACATTCCATGGCAGCAATAATAATAAAACATTAAGGTTGCACAGCCTCAGAGGTTAGGAAATGCCAAAAAGTTAAGCCTGCATGTACAATCTTAATTCTGCTACTTTGGACATATAAGTAACCTGACACACACCATGTCCTATCCTATGTATGCAAGGAGAACAGGGTATGTCTACACTACCACCCTAGTTCGAACTAGGGTGGTTAATGTAGTCATACGGAGTTGCAAATGAAGCCCGGGATTTGAATTTCCCAGGCTTCATTTACATGATGCCGGGCTGTACAGCTAGTTCGGAATAGGAAGCCTAGTCCGAACTAGCTAGTCCGTGCCGCGTGTAGCCGCGGGCACGGAGTCCGCACTAGCAGACATTTAAAAATGGCGCCACCCGGCATCATGCAACTCCGTATGACTACATTAACCACCCTAGTTCGAACTAGGGTGGTAGTGTAAACATACCCACAGAGTTCAGGAAACTTGATTTTTTACACTTAACACACACACACTTTATTTTACTTTACTGGTGTTCAAGGTGTGTTACTCATGTCCATTCAGTATAGGCAGGGCTGGCCGATCCACACAAGTGCAGATCGCCCAAATCCGGCTCTTCCGGGTTGCAATCTACTCGCGACGGGCGAGTAGACTGCATTATTTGTCGAGCCCTAGTATAGGTGTGTGTGCCTGCCACATGCTCCAGTGCTAGATTTTCCTTAAGCAGTACCCGGAGGGGCTGGGATCCCCAGTGCTCCCTGGAGTAACACATGCATGCCACACTATATAGGGCACTCTGAGGCCCCTCCTTCCTCAGTTCCTTCTTGCTGGACCTCTGATAAAGGGGAAGGTTGAATGGACATGAGCAACACATCTCAAAGAACACCAGTTACAGAACAGGTAGCTATCTTTTATACTAAAGTAATTTTCTCAAGTAGACAATGCTTTGTGGTCTAAGTGTCAGCATTTTTTTTTTAATTTCTTCGTGTGCTTGCTCATGTTCATTTAACATAGGTTGCTGTAAGCAGTGTCTGTGGAGGTGGATAGAAGTTAGAATGCAGACTACAGTACAGACCTTCCAAACACAGCCAGCTGCACTTCAAGTTGTTTCTCGTTGCAAAGAGGTCTACTAGGGAAGAGACCCAGTCGTGGAAGAGGGAGGCAGTCACCTTGGGCTGGAGAGCCCACTCATGGCGAGAGAACTTTCTCCTGAGACAACCTGTGATCATGTTCCATACCCCTGGGATGTGACAGGCTTCTAGCATCATGCCATACAAAATGCAAAACTCCCAGTGCCTCATAGCTTCCTTGCAGGGCTCTAAGGAATGGGTCCCTCTTTGTCTGTGTATGTAATACATGATGGTGGTATTGTCAGTGACGACATGCACAACCCTGCCAGTGAGGGGAGGGAGAAACACCCCTCATGCATTTCTGATCGCTCTGAGCTCTATGTTTGTGGAGCACTCTCTCGAGCGATGGGTCCCCATGTGCGCCCCCAACTGCAGTCCGAAGCACTGGCTACTAGTTCTGTTGAGTGAAGTTGAGGATGGTGTGGAATGCCTGACATGATTCGGTCCAGGCTCATCCACCACGCCAGGGCCAACAGAACTTGGGATGCGACCGTCACCACCCTTTCCAGAGTGTCTTACTGGTATGTACACTGAGGCCAGCCACAGTTGGGGGGGCCTCATTCTGAGCCTGGCTAGAGACACTATGTATGTGCAACCCTATGCCCCAGGATCTGGAGACATACTCGTGCTCTGGTCAGAGGGGTGTCCATGAGCTGCTGAATGAGGGTCTCAAATCTCTCAAGGAAGACATGCTCTGGCCATAGTCAAGTCCAGAACTGCTCCTATGAATTCTATTCTTTGAGTTGGTACCAAAACTAACTTTTTCTTGCTCATCTGCAGGCCGAGCTAGCGGCATGTGTTCAGGAGGAGACATGTTATGCTGGACTTTGCACCTCAACAAGCCTTTGACAAATCAGTCATCCAAGTAAGGGTATACATGTACACCCTGCCGCCTCAGCTATGCCACAACTACTGACATGCACTTGGTGAAAACCCTGGAGGCTGTGCGCAGGCCAAAGGGCAGGTCAGCAAATTGGTAGTGGTTCTTTCCAACTATGAATCTCAGGAAGCACTTGTGACCTTCAAAGATGGTGATATGGAAGTATGCATCTTTGAGGTCGAGGGCAGCAGACCAGCCCCAGGATCCAGGTTGGGAATGATGGAGGCCAGGGAGACCATGCTGAACCTGAGGTGGACCAAATATTTGTTGGGGCCCTGCAAGTCCAATATAGGCCACAGACTCCTTTCGCCTTGGATCAAAAAGTAGTAAGAATAGAAACCCTTGTCCTCGAACTCCACTGCTCCTATCTGGATGAACAGAGATAGCTCCTGCTATAGAAGATGCTCGTGAGAAGGGAGGAGTTAAGCAAGAGGGAGGTGTGATGGAGTGCTGGAGAGTATACCCATGCTGCACAGTGACCAGGACCCAACAGTCCAACGTAATGCCCCTCCAAGTCGGGAGGAAGGGATGGAGCTTGAAGGAGATCAGGTGGGCAGAATCTCAGAAGTCTGGCATGTCGTCCCCAGGCACACCCTCAAAAGGAACACTCACCTTGGAGTTCTGCCCAGCTGGGCGATTGCTGGTCAGACAGAGGATGGTGGCCCAGTGTCATCTTGGGCGGGGGG